AGTGCTATGAATTATATCAAATCTAACCTAAGAAATAGGATAAAACTTGACCTCTTAAATGCTATCTTGACTATACAATTTGGCCTGATGAGAGTAGGAAAATGCTGTTCAACTTATCAGCTCCCTGATTGTGTATTAAAAGAAATTGGAACAGCTAAAGCATACCAGAGTAATTTTGGATCTGAAGCTTCAACTTCATCATCCAAGCTAAGTTTATCCGGTGAAGCTTGTGAGACAGACATCAGAGAAGTTGAAAACATAAATATATAGGGTAAGTTATATCCATAGCTGTGTAATTTCTGTTTCATTTTGATGTTTTTTTTTCTAGATGTTTACCCGCGCAAATCTAAATATTTCTAGATATTTTTGACTTGGTTCTAGATGTTTTTGTCAAAGAAAATTGGCAACACTGTCTGCAGGGATGTGTTATTTCTGTAGCGAGCAGACGAGACACTCGACTGTAGGTTGGAATTTTTTTCTCTCCTTTGTTTGGGTGCTGCTTATAACGTGAATTGTGAAAAAGCTTTCGGAGGATATAATTTTGTAAGTAAGAGGAAGGATGCCAGGTTTCAATATCATAATTAGCTGATTGGAATAACCGGGTTGAGTTCCGTGTCACCATAACATAGTGGTGGTGGCGGTTGACTGAGTTGAGTGAAGTCCTTGCACACTGACACAGGAGGCACTTGCTTGACAGGTAGATCGACTGGTTACTTATCTGCGGTTGTTGCACTTAGAACGTTTAAATCTGGGAAGGGGTAACCTCACTTAAACGTTTCTGATCCAAAGGCCCTTGTGTCATTTAATCCATTTTTTTTAAAAGTAGATCAGTAAATATTGAGAATTTATTCTTATAACAGAACTACACTATCACCATCAAATCAAACACTACAGAGTCGTTCTGAAAAGAGAAGGCCCATCATAGAAGCGAGTGTTATCTGTAGCAGTGAACTTCAAGGGCTCGGAATGCTGAAGAAAAGAATGAGAATATAACTATTATAATAGAGAATTTTGCAGCATAAGGTGTTTAATAATATCACTAACAAGGTAATCACAGCTCCAGCTTTATCACAACACACAAGTTCTTTATCACTGGGCCGAGTCATCCCATAGTTGTTTCGTTCCTGTGCTAGCGGAGTCCACACACAAGATATGTAACTGCCCCTTGTGGGGTGGGGGGAAAAACATGCAGATTGCAGTCTCAGCAAAGCCAATAACATACACACATTTTATAAGTAATTACAAAATTAGCAAGAGGAAGATCATTTGGCACTCTTCCAAATACCAGTCACAAATTATTCACTGCGAAAAACATCCCTTTGAGAGCATCAAAAGGTTATGTTGTAAAAACATTTAGGCCATCATCATGTTTCCACTTCTGCCGTTATTGCTTGATGAATAGCAATGTTTAGATATTAAGCTAAGCAACCTTGGGAGGAATAATTTGCGATCCATTAAAGTGTTGTGGGGAGGAACAGTTTTTGCTCCATTGTTCATATTACCCGTGACTCGCCTTGTGAGTTCCAGAGCCACATGTTTGAGGAAAAAAAGAATAGATCCACTGCCACCTAAAAAGCATGTTGTAAAGGCGACTAATTAGGACTTTGCTGAAAGTGGATGTTCTGGGGCGAAAGACGCAGATTTCACAGCCTAGCTGTAAACCACACCACATCGTGCCAACTTCCCTTTTAAGGGCTAAAAATAAATTATCCCCAGGCGCGGAATCGAACAGCGGTCACCTGCATGACAAACGGAATACATACAAGTGTACAACCAAAGACTCAAGAGTTTGGTTCCCATGAAGTTATAAAATAATGTAAAGCATAGTTTGTAGTGTTAATGTTCCATTTTTGTAACTGTATGACCTCTTGAGGCCCTGAATGGTATTTTTTTTAACAGTGAATAATTTGGGACCAGAATTCGAGAGAGTGCCGAACATTTTATAGTCTTAGTAATTAATACACTTGTTTCTGCAGCGAGGCACTCATTGTTTAGAGATCACAAGTTCAGTTCCCAGTGTGGATACTATAACTTTTGATTTTTAGATGTCACTGTGGCAGTACTGACTGTTCTGGAAACTGTCCCACTAGACGTCACGGTGGCAGTACTGACTGTTCTGGAGACTCTGTCCCACTAGACGTCACGGTGGCAATACTGACTGTTCTGGAGACTCTGTCCCACTAGATGTCACGGTGGCAATACTGACTGTTCTGGAGACTGTCCCACTAGATGTCACGGTGGCAATACTGACTGTTCTGGAGACTGTCTTACTAGATGTCAGGGTGGCAATACTGACTGTTCTGGAGACTGTCCCACTAGATGTCACGGTGGCAATACTGACTGTTCTGGAGACTGTCCCACTAGACGTCACGGTGGCAATACTTACTGTTGTGGAGACTGTCCCACTAGATGTCACGGTGGCAGTACTGACTGTTCTGGAGACTGTCCCACTAGATGTCACGGTGGCAGTACTGACTGTTCTGGAGACTGTCCCACTAGACGTCACGGTGGCAGTACTGACTGTTCTGGAGACTCTGTCCCACTAGACGTCACGGTGGCAATACTAACTGTTCTGAAGACGCTGTCCCACTAGACGTCACGGTGGCAGTACTGACTGTTCTGGAGACTGTCCCACTAGATGTCATCATGGTTGCAGTACTGACTGTTCTGGAGACTCTGTCCCACTAGATGTCATGGTTGCAGTACTGACTGTTTTAAAGACTCTGTCCCACTAGATGTCACGGTGGCAGTACTGACTGTTCTGGAGACTCTGTCCCACTAGACGTCATGGTGGCAATGCTAACTGTTCTGAAGACGCTGTCCCACTAGACGTCACGGTGGCAGTACTGACTGTTCTGGAGACTCTGTCCCACTAGATGTCATCATGGTTGCAGTACTGACTGTTCTGGAGACTCTGTCCCACTAGTTGTCATGGTTGCAGTACTGACTGTTTTACAGACTCTGTCCCACTAGATGTCACGGTGGCAGTACTGACTGTTCTGGAGACTCTGTCCCACTAGATGTCACGGTTGCAGTACTGACTGTTCTGGAGACTCTGTCCCACTAGATGTCATGGTTGCAGTACTGACTGTTCTGGAGACTCTGTCCCACTAGATGTCACGGTGGCAGTACTGACTGTTCTGGAGACTGTCCCACTAGACGTCACGGTGGCAGTACTGACTGTTCTGGAGACTCTGTCCCACTAGATGTCATAGTGGATACTGTTGATACTAATGGTTGCCCAAAAACTTCAGCTATTTCCTAATACTTCTTCTTCAATTCCTCCCATATTTTGTTCATCATTATCCATCATTACATCAACCAGAACAGAATGGGAGTTGTTAGCCTAAAAGCACTTGGAGACATACTCAGGAGGAAGTCGGAGCAATTATGGCCATGTCCGATCATCTTTAAATGAACAATATGTTCATCATTTTCTTCAGGCATTTGTTTTCAGATGCATTTAACTTTTGTTCCATATCTTCAGTGATTCTCCAACAACTAAACTTAGTCAATGTAGTCTTATCACTTCACACTTCTATCATCATCATCATGTAGCAGGCCTGTTGCAGAGCGTCACTCTTTTCATGGTCTGCCCCTCTTTCCTGGTACCATACCTTCTGTTATTAATTTTTTTTTCAGTCCGCTTTGGCCCTTGGTGTGGCCAAAATATTTCAGCTTCCAAGAGAGGATGCTGTTTATGAGACATCTTCCTTGATCTTCAGATCTTTTAGAATGTCAGCATTTCTTTTTTTCTTTTTCAATGGTTTCTAAGAATCTTTCTGTAACAGTTAAAATAAAAAGCCCCTATTTTCATTCTTAAGGACTGCAAGATCTACGACTCACATCCATATGTTGCTGCAGGAAAAATAAAGGTTGTTGCGTATCCTTTACAGGACGTTGCAGAACCAACCCCAACATCCCCTGGCTGTTGTGTGGTTTTTCTAGGCAAATTTACTTCCAGTACTTTGCCATTGCTTTCTGAATGGTTGGCTTTCTTGATACCACTGTCGAAACCAACGCAAGGCGCTGGGATCGAACCCGGCATCCCATCATTACGTTGCATTCGCATTGACTTAGCCATAGAGCCGTCACAGAAAAAATGCATGCTCTCAAAATTGTAACCTTTTCACCATGAGAACACTCCTATACTTTGCAGACTTATTGTCTGTTGTTTATCTGTTTTCAGGAAGAATGGATCTGCCCTCAACTGTGATGACACTCAGAGGATAAACAGCACTTAGCAACCATCAGATGTTTTGTGTTCATAGTTGTGCAGAGTGCCATGTATACAAGATAATGCGTTAGCATGAGGAAACCACACCAGATGTGCACTAGTGATAGAAGCCCATCACTTCCATTAAGTCACTGATGAGGATGTACGCAATCTCCTTGTAAGTCTCCCAAGTGATAGCCCACAGCATCAAGTCCGCTGCTTTCACTAAACCACCCGTGAAGATGTACAAAACCTCCTTGTGATTCTCTAAAGTGATACCCATCTTCAGCATCAAGTCAGCTGTTTTCATCAAACCACACGTTAAGATATATGCAGCTTCCTTTTAACTCTTTTAGTTGTTCCAGGTCACAAGAATCAAGTCCACTGCTTCCATTAAACCACCCATGAAGATGTACAGAACCACCTTGTAACTATCCCAAGTGATTAAAGTCTCCACCTTCAAGACCACAACTTTCATTAAACCACCCATGAAGATCTACGCAACCACCTTGAAACTCTCCACAAGTGATACAAATCTCCACCGTCATAACAGCTTCCATTAAACCGCACATGAAGATCTACACAACCTCCTTGTAACTCTCCACAAGTGATACAAATCTCCGCCGTCATAACAGCTTCCATTAAACCGCCTGTGAAGATCTACACAACCTCCTTGTAACTCAGCATCAAGTCGACAGCTTCCATTAAACCGCCTGTGAAGTTGTACACAACCACTTTGTAACTCTCCCAAGTGATCAGTCTTTAAACATTTCATTTACAAACAATGGCCGCAGCCATGTTTACACGGCTGAGCAGGTTCAGCAAGGGAGATGAATATGAGGACCTGGACGGAGATGATAATGTGGAGATGGACATCACTGATATGTACCGATCGCTGGGCAAGACCCCGCCGCATGTCCAGACCAAAGACCCCGGGGGTGCTTCACCAAGACATGTTCAGAAGCCGCCTGATAATGATCACATTGGTAATTTGAATGTTTGTGGATGTAGTGAATGTGTCTGATGTTGTCTTATTTATCAGAATGGTTAGTTATTTGCGTATCCTTTACAGGACGTTTGCAGAACCAACCCCAGCATTTTTTTTAAAATTTTGGCTGTTGGGGTTTTTCTAGGCAAATTTTACATTGAGTAGTTTGCCATTGCTTTCTGAATGGTCAGCTTTTGGTAACACTGTCAAAGCCAATGCAAGACAAATTGTCCGCAGCTGGGATCAAACTGGCACCCTGGCATTCCAAAGCTATAGATGCCGACATCAGGATGGTAGACCTGCCAAAACTGCTGTGCTGTCCCTATCTTCAGCAGCATTAGCAGGTTTCCACTTCCAGTAATACCACATAATCTCAGAGGCACCAGTGGATGCAGTCAGTCTCCAGTCAGGAGGCTGACTGTACACATGTCATAGTTGTAACAGACTCTGAAGGCATGCTGAGAAAGGTGAAGACATGGATGCTTCGAGCAGAGTGGCAAGCTTCACTGGGAAGGTCATGGATAGTGAGCATACGTTGGATCTTTTGTCCAGACCATGCTGGCATAGTGGGTAATGAACAGGCAAACGGATTTAAAAAAATTTTTTAAAAATTAATTTAAAAAAAAAATAATTACCACATATGGGGCCGCATGTTCTGCTACCCGTGCGATTACGCTGGAAGTAACTTAACTCCATGGTCATTTATTATTTGTTTGGTAAACAGCAAGAGAAATGGTTTGGCCATATAACGTGGGTGCAAATAAACAGATACCACAGCAAGTAATGAAGTACATACAATGCGTAAGCTGAGGGGCACTGGATCTACTCCCCCCCCCCCCTTTTCCCAACAAAGAGCCCTGGAACCTACACGGACGACTCCTTTATGCGAAGCACACAACATGTCAGCCATCCTAGGTATATGTAACTTGAGATAAAAGTTGGTAGTCAGAGTTTAAGCTTAACTGCAATTGGTTGATCTTTAATTGCTCCATTGCTTTGCTAGTGAAGAATCACACCAAAATACCCCTCACTGTCCTGTTCAAAAACTAATGAACTAACAATAATCAGAATGTCTTTACACTGGAACCCACAAGGGCATACAAAACACACTGCGAAAAAATGGAATTAGAGAGTAAAGTTAAAAAGATGGGGAGGATAAGAGGGAGTTGCCTGAAGAAAAAAAAAAAGAACAAATCCAGAAGCATGCACATGCAGGAAATAAGGCAGCCACTAGAGGTGCCTACACCAACAGTCCACTACTAGAATTGCTATTTGTCGGTGGATGTAGTCAGTTACAACAGTTTTGGCTATACACACAGAGTATTACATCAAATGTGCAATGTATTGTGTGTGTCCATTATTTTTCTAAATTTACAACAGGAAAATATTGTTTTGAAAATGTAATATTGTCTGTGCCTGATTGATTTGTCTTTCAGAAACATTTACTGTGCAGGAATGCATAGATCAGATCGGCTTTGGGAAGTTCCAGATTAAACTGTCAATTCTGACTGGATTTGCATGGGTGAACCATTGTGTTGTGTCTGATTGTGGATAGGTAAAGTGAGGAAATACTGTGTTAGGCTCTACCCCTGCCTCCCCCCACCCACCCACACACACACACCACACACACATGGTCTCACACACATACACACTCACAGGCAGAATCTCTGTCTCTCTCTATCTCTGTTTCTGTATTTCTGTCTCTTTTGTTGTCTCTCTGTCTCTTTCACTAATTTCCTTTTGCCCATCCCCGCTCCTTCTTTTTGCTGTACCGCCTGTGCAACCAATTCTTAACCTTTTGAAAATAAAATGTTTGTTCTAAAATGTGTCATTCATTTGTTCCTCCCCCCACCCATCCCCCTTATCTCTGTCTCTCTCTCTCTTTTACTCCTTACCCCTCTTTCCTTCACTCCCTTGTTACCTCCTTCCTGTCTCCTCACTGCTTCTCTCTCTCCCGCTCCCTTCCGTCTTTATCTACCTCCCGGCCTCTTTATCTCCCTGCCTCTTTATCTCCCTCCCTCTTTATCTCCTCCATCTTTCTCACTGGGCTAGTTTGAGACTATGGACAGTGGGGAAAAGCCGCTAGGGGAACAAGTGTATACAATAACTATTTTATTTTTTCTCATCTTTTTATAATATTTTCTAATTCTTGTCACCTTCCTTCAGTTACATTGAAGAAGTATTAAGGGGGAAGAGGGTACGGAATATCTTGTCTTCTACCGAATACCTCGGCAAAGTGTTGAAATATGGTTGTGTTTGTGTGCGTGCTTGCAGGCATGTGTGTGTGTGTTTCTTCTCTCCCCGCTCCCCCCCCCCTCCCCCCCAGGTTACCTCAGTAAATTCTTCTTCTTCTTCTTCGCGTTCACCAGCTTTACACTCTGGCGGAAGGTTCTGGTTGCTCGTCCACTACTGAACTGCAGTCCTGCTCCAGAACCTGAGTGTTGCGTGTGCATCAGTTTTACAGATCTCATTCTCTTGAATACAGACTGTCGGTTCCTTGCTTCTCCGGCAGATGCACTCCGACTTCAAAGGAAGCTCCCCAATTAGTCGACTCTTACGACATGCTTTTGGGGAGGCAGTGAGTCTATTCTTGTTTTCCCCACAATGGGGCCCCAGAACCCACACGGGGACCTCAGTAAATTGTATGCGTTGTTATTTTACCTTCTTTTTGTCTTTCTCTAGTGTCTCCGCAAAGTGTAAAAAATGAAAGTTTGGGGGGTGGAAAGGGTTTATGTGTATGTGTGTTTTGAATATATATTTCTTCTTGTCTTTCTTTAGCTATCTCAGTGACATGTAAAAGAGGGGTGTTTCAATATATGTGTTTCTACTTCAAGTATCTTTCTCCATTTACTTCCATGAAGTGTTTGTACTGTTAGTTTTAATGATAGTTTATATATTTATAATGATGAGAAGTGTTGTAAAATTTGTAAATTAATCTTAGCAAATGCTGGAATGTTTTACGAAGATGAGAAATTAAGACTACGCATCTCAACACAAGTTTGAAAGTTTATGGAGAAAAAAAAATTAAGACTACACATCTTAACAATAATCTAAAAGTTTATGAAGGCGAGAAATTGTATAGACTGTTGGTCTTGACAGCAATTTAAATGTTTCTATAGATGGCCGATGCTATGGAGATGATGATCCTGTCAATTTTGTCACCTGCATTGCACTGCGAATGGAGGCTGGAAGGTTGGCAGGAGGCCTTCATCACAACGGTAAGTACCGTTGTCACTTTTATAGTGCACTTTCTCCTCGACTTAATGGCCATTCGTACTTACACTTACAAGCCCACACACAAATTAGTAAAAAGTAGTAAATAAAGAAAGATAACTAAATTTTTAGGGTAAACATATATCCAGGAACTGATAGCGAGAGTGCAGCAGTGTTTAATCATACTTATCTAGATTGCGTTTTTGTGTTTGAAATAAATAACCTAGCTGATTGAAAATAGTGTTGAAAAATTCGACTTATGACTAGTTTGACTTAAATCTTGTTACCCAGCATGGAACTCAGTCGTAAGTTGAGGAGATCCTAAAATGTTTTTTTTTTAATTTTTTAAAATTTATTATTATTTGCGCAAATAATGGCGTCTGAGCACAATCACCATATTTGCCACTTTGGTATTCTGCGGAAGGATCAAAATAGACAAAAATGGCATGAATAAATAGCAAACTTCAGCACATCATCCTTACAGGGTCTCACATGGATATACTGTCAGGGAAAGGTGGTGACAGGTGTGCTCCATGCAGAGTGGCAAGCATCACTCTAAAGGTCCCAGGTAGTTAGCATCCTTTGGATATTTTCTCCGGGTCATGCCGGTGTGTTGGGAAATGAGCAGGCAGATAGAACTGGCTGGTTATGCACAACTTGGTGGTGAACTGATGTATGACAAGCTGGATATTATGAGAGCCCTTTGGGAGCGAGTGAACAGTGCCAGGACACAGATAGATCACTATGGTTTGAGGAAAAATGGCATTGCAAGGAGTTACGGGGGGGGGGGGGGGAGGGGGGATCTGGCCGATGCTTGACACTCAGGTGAAAGGCGAGAGAGGGATATGCAGTCAGACAGTTACTGGTACCATCAGAATTTTAACTCTTAGTTTGCTGCTGAAGATGGTGTCGGAGCGTTTGTGGAGGTGTCCTGAGTGCTGTGATGTCGATTCTTAATTTAGCATTCAACATTCAACTGTCTGGGACATGCTGAACTTATAAAAGAATGCGGTCATGCATCACATGTAAAGATATATGAATGAATAAAACTAGTTTGTAAGATGGAGAAATTATGTCATGAGTGGAAAATGTCATTATTAGTGCTTTTTTTTTCTAAAGAAAGGAAACAAATGAAAACTATAGAGGAATATCACTATTATCCACAAGCTATAAGTTTCTATCAGCGATACTGCTAAACAGACTAAAACCAAATGTTGAAGACATATTGGGAGTGTAATGGGGGATATTTTCGACCCAGTTTAGGATGGTTGGGGGGAAGGCCCAAAGCTGACCGAAAACACCGAGATAGTCCAGATACTTGGATTAAACGAGAATCTGGAGATAGGTGACTAACCACTAGTTATCACGGGGACCACGGTGATGCGACCCAAGGTCGCCATGGGAAAAGTAAAGGACCACCACGTGTTGTCATGTGAAAGGAACCCGTGGTATAAGTCAGACTTGACTCTGGTCAAGTTTAGTTTTGAGTCGACCTGTTGGAGCGAAAGGACGAGCGTCTGAATGTGCGAATGTCTACGTGAGTGCCTGAGGAGAAAGGAGACCTGCCGACGAAATGTTAAGCTGAGATCGACCATGCCAGCGTGTGAGATGTCCAAACGTCAGTGTTGAATCCATGGGACCCATCGTTGCTTGAATGCCTGCAGAAGACTGTTCGTTAAAAGGCTGCGTGAGTTTGTGTACGAAAGCGGTTCAATTAGACATCGACTGGACGATTCATTTTGTCGTAACTTGTAATACGTCAATAAAGTAATGTCTCGTAAGCTCACATAGGTGTCGGCTTGTGCCAGGTGTGTAACGTGAAGCGTGTGAGAATATCATCCACCACACACGAGAACCACATACAACCCATTCATTACAGGGAGATTACCAAGCAGGCTTCCGACAGAACAGATCAACAATAGATTAGATATTCATTTTACGACAGATAGCCGAGCAGAATTGGGAATATGGAAGAGATATATAATGTTTTTGTGGTTTTTAAAAAGTCATGTGATATTTTACATAGAAACAGTTTATGGAATGCTATGAAGAACTTTGGAATACCAAAGACGTTATTCACTTTGACTAGACTATGTATCGAAGACACTTGTAATATAGTAATATATAAAGGCAGAAAGTCAGACCCTTTTCAGATAACATCTGGTTTAAAGCAAGGTACACTGGAGCATTGGAGGAATAGCCGATTAGTCATACTGTAACAGGGTTCCAGAGCTGGGAGTGAAAGCTGATCGGCTGTATAGAAATCTACATTGAACAAAGACTGAGAGAAAGTCAGTACTGATGGGGTCTTACTGAGTGTTGATTGTTGCCGTGTTCATGTCAATAGTGAACATTGAAGGCTTCGCTGTGTGATCCGAAGTGCAAATAAGCGAAACCTCAATGTGTGAAGTAAGGGTTGTACTATAGATCAGTTGTCAGCAAATCGCAGCTCGCGTCTCTTTAGCCACCTGTGTGTGGTTTGGCCAGTCGGCCACAAATCGTTTTGACTCCCAAAAACATGGCTCTTGACATGTTCTTGAAAAGAGATTTGGCTCTCAACAAAATTGTAATCATCCTGCTGCAGATTGTTAGCTCTTTAGACTCAAGAGTTTGCCGACCACTGCTGTAGATTGTTGGCTCTTTAGACTCAAGAGTTTGCCGACCACTGCTGCAGATTGTTGGCTCTTTAGACTCAAGAGTTTGCCGACCACTGCTGCAGATTGTTGGCTCTTTAGACTCAAGAGTTTGCCGACCACTGCTGTAGATTGTTGACTCTTTAGACTCAAGAGTTTGCCGACCACTGCTGTAGATTATCGCTAGGGTTTTTTGTAGGACCGGAGGACAGGCCCTCCTAGCTTCTGTGTTGTGATCATTAAATGTGAAATATTCATCAAGTGGTGTCAGCTGGTATGTGGAGGATTTAGGGGAGTTGATTGAAGAGAGCCCCTATCTGGTCTACTATGTGAACACTAGACAATGGCCAGATTCTTACTACATTAAGAGAAACATTATAAAGACTATTAAGAAATTGTAAACATATTCATGTGATTGTTTGTGAAGTGTATCACTAATACTTCTGAATGTCTCTTTGATTCACAGGTAGTGTTCTGTGGAATGATGTGCAGTTCTAGCATATGGGGCTCTATCTGTGACAAGTATGGGAGGAAAACTGTGAGTACACAAGTTCAGCTTTCATTTCGGGCATTCCTCACACACAGACATGTATGCAGGCATGTGCGCATCAGTCATTCAGGTACTGCCTCCACAATGAAGGTTGACTAGAACGGATCCCTAGTCGTAATAGTTGCGGCAGCAGAAGCCCATAATTGCTCCGCTCCTGTACTAGTGAAAATCACATGAAACACACTCACTGTCCCTGGAACAGTTGTTCACAGAAAAGAGCTGCTCATTTTTGTCCGGGAGAAAAGAAAGCTGCGCACTTTTGTATGGGAGACGGCGTGTCGATGTGACTGAACTAAGCCAAGGCATTTTTGGGCACATTGTATACACATGGCAAACAAAGGCATGTCATGACACCCCTAGAGTTGAGTCGGGTCAAGAATTGACACCACAGAACTCGGGGCATTCCCATGCGTGCTCCGCTCTCATCTTCAGCAGCCAGCGCAAAGTTCCAGTACTTCTGGTACTGGTCACAATCTGGTTATATGTCCGTCTTTCCTTTGCTCTGAGTGTAGTGAGCCGGCCAGACCCTCTGGTTACACCTAGGTGCCTCATTCTCTCCAGGCCATAATAATCTTCTTTCTTTACTGATTTTGTTGCTTGTTCCCAAAGGGCCTGGACCAAATCTGCTTTGTCATGTATCAATTCACTACCCAGTGGTACAGATCCAGTCAATCTGTCTGCCTGTTCATTACTCACTATGCCGGCATGGCCTGGAGAAAAGATCCAAAGTAGCTTACTACCCGTTGCTTTTCCAGTGAAGCTTGCCACTCTGCTCGAAGCATCCCTGTCTTCCCCTTTATTAGCATGTTCTCTGCTTTCTTTTCTCACCATTTCCTCGTTTTATTTTCTTTACTCTCTCTTTGCTAACACACCCCTAGAGTATTATAGGACTGTCCCAGGGTATTCCCTTCAAAATTTTGGACCTGACGGACCATATCTGGCAAGTTGAGTATGTGTCACATAACATCAGTGTCATGTAACCTCTCGATATTTATCTCCACACATATTGAGAATAGGTGTGGATGTTTTAGTGTGGTTTACTCTAGTGCCTGATTCCTCACACCATCTGGTCAGTCTCTCCAGTTCCTGTGTAACCTCTCGATATCTATCTCCACACATATTGAGAATAGGTGTGGATGTTTTAGCTTGTTTTGCTCTAGTGCCTGATTCCTCACACCATCTGGTCAGTCTCTCCAGTTCCTGTGTAACCTCTCGATATCTTCTCCACACATATTGAGAATAGGTGTGGATGTTTTAGCTTGTTTTGCTCTAGTGCCTGATTCCTCACACCATCTGGTCAGTCTCTCCAGTTCCTGCTGCAGTGGTCTCCTGTCTGTCTGTACCCTGCTGATGCGTCAGTACATTATCAGCAGATGACATAGTATGCCTCAGTCCTATATTCTGAATGTATGTGACACCTGTTGTGATTGCATTAAATAGTAAATATGACATCAGTATCCTCTAATTTAACCTTGGCTTTATGGTCCTCTGTTTCAACATCCATGTCCCATGCTGCAGCACAACCATTCTTTCAGGAAGATCAGGTTGGGTTAACACTCATGTCTAACAGCAGTGTCATAAGGTAGTTGTAGGAAACACTGTTGTGGGCATCTTAAGGATCTCTGGCTGCCACAGTTGTTTCAGTGCCAGCCTGGAAGCCTTCATAGGTGTCATAATCAACTGGATTGAACTGGGTATATTAGCAATATGAAACCATTTTTATAACTCTTATACCACAGACACTGCATGTGTAGGCAAGGATATGAACCCAAAACTTTTGGGCTGGCAGGCAAGCAATTAGCGACTGTCCTACAGCAGCCATAAGATATGCTAGTATAACAATCAATCAGTCAAGTGACGTCTCCACAGTGAAGGTTGACTGCAGTGGATCTCCAACATGTCCAGTCTCTTGTCCTGGTTGTACACTCCCTCAGACTGCTGCCCATTCATCTCTTGATATTGTCCTCCCATCTGTATCACTGCGCACCTCTTGCTTTCCTGCCTTCAACCACCCACCACTCCCAGTATGGTCTTCAAAAGCGTGTTATGTCTTTTAATGTGGACAAAGTATCCCAGTTGCCTCTTCTTTATTTCTTTCAGCAACTCTCTTCTCATTTGGAGTTCCCTCAGAACCTTTGCATTTGACAATAGTTGGTTCAGTAGCGTAGTTTGATTTGTATTTGCTGGATTGCCATCCGAGATGTGCCTCTCAAAGTTACTTTGGTGTCAGATCTTCAAGTATAATTAAAAAGTATGACAATCACAGATGACAAATGAATGTTGTGGCTAAACAGCCTTAATCAGCCAGTTGCCAAATACTGCCTTTACTTTTGCGGTGTAGGCAGTGAGGGTCTGAGCCTGAGGATTTACGGCCGCATGGCTAGTGCTGTGGCCACGACTGTGCAGGTGAGGATTTTATTTTGCCCCGGACAGAAAAATCCCTAGCCTTACTGAGGATTTGAACCTGGGTCTCCAGCTTGAGAGCTCAGGATTCTAACTGTTCGGCCAGCCGCTCCTCCGCCTTCATTATCACATTAGATAAATCTGCGGTACCACAAGCACGAACAAGAATTTGTAAAATCAAAATCATTTAACTGACGTATCGCCAATGAAATAATTAAATCGTAATACTGCAAAATAATACTGTACAGACAAACATATTGTAACAGTTTTTCGAAGGCAGTTTGCACGAAAGTGGTGAAATTAGTACAAATCTTCAGGTAGCAGTGAAAAAAAACCAAAAAACTGCACACTTATATTTGATTCTGCATATATTTTCATGAACTGTTTCCACTGTCTACCCAGGAGCTGATTTTATGCTCATTGATCACCTGTTACTTCGGCATACTCAGCGCTTTTGCCCCAAATTTTATATGGATGCTTATCCTGCGTGGACTGGTTGGGTTTGGTATAGGAGGAGCGCCTCAGTCGTAAGTCATCTGTGTGTGTGTTGTTTCTTTGGTACTTTTTAATTTGTCATGTATGGATTTAGAATATAGGGAGACTGCAGTCTGATTTTAAGATTGTTTATTTTTTTCCTTTTTAGGGGGAAAAGGGGGGGGGGGGGGATGTCCCAATAATTTTATATCCCAATATCCCTTCTTTTAACCCAGTTCTTTTTTATTCCGGTTCTTTTTTATTTTTTAGTGGGGGGAAGGGGGGGAGGGGCCAGTAGGTGACTCTAATGCTTACTCTCATTCATGACAGTAAGTGAAGGGAAGAGAAGTAAAGTAGAGTAAAGTGAAGTGAGTTGAGGTGAAGTGAAGTGACGTGAGGTGAAGTAAAGTGATTTAAAGTGAAGTGAAGTGAAGTAAAGAACCCTTTTGACACCAGTGTCATAGCGGGTATATTATGCTAGACTTTTATTTCTATAGACCTATTGACATGACACCGGCTGCCTTCGCTTCCCATGACTTTACTAGGTACCCGCTTTACGTTGGGTCAACCTGGGAGCCCAAGTCTTTGTGAAAAAGCCTAACTTTATGTGGATTTTAACCCAAGGCCTTCCATGATAACTCAGCAAGAAATTTTGTTGCCAAAAGTCATTTTGTTTTTCTGTTTTTAAATAGAAGTAATTAGCAGAAGGCCATGATTGGGCTGTTGTTTGCAGGTGGATTCTGGGGTATCATCATTGTTTGTTAATTCTAGTACAGGCTTGTTGACTGGAGGGGAGGGGGGGGGGATCCATGAGGTGTTGACATGGCCTGAGTCAACACAGAATGAAAATATTGACTCAGGCCTTGTCAACACCTCATTGATCCCTTCCTTGGTCAACAAACTACTGAACATAAAATTGCCTAGTAAAATCACACAAGAAATGCTGGGGTTGGTTCTGCAATGACTGGTAAAGGCTGAAATAATTTTTTCAATTATATAAATCTGGCTTTTTCTAATGCTTTCTGAGTCAGTCTTCTTCTTCTTCAATCCTTCTATCAGAAAACTTATATCAGGAGGCCGGTAGCCTTTATGAAAGCTATCGTGCAATCCATATCCTTTCGTGTACCATACAGCTTTGTCTTCATTGTGGTTGGAACAGGCCAGATTACGTCTCTGTTGTCAGCATACAGTTGACAGTGTTGGAGCACATGCTCATCATTTGCCGGTGCCACGCTGCAGGGACACGTCTCCGTGTTTCCTACACTGACAAATTTATGATATGTGTGTGTGTATCATGTTCTCTAGCCAGGAGAAAGCTGCAGTTACCACATCCAGCTATCACAGAGAACACCCGAGCACTTTTTGTGCCTCTAGACGCTGAACCATTTGTATAAATAATTACTTCACCCGAATGAGTATTATCCTGAATTAGTTGCTGAATTATCAGTACTTTAACAATGATTCTGTGCTTTAGGGTCACCTTGTATGCCGAGTTCCTGCCCAGCAAGGCCAGGGCCACATGCGTGACTCTGGTCGAGATGTTCTGGGCTATTGGAGCCTGCTTCGAAGTCCTGCTGGCGCTGTTTGTGATGCCAACTCTGGGATGGTCGTACCTCCTGGGTTTCTCAGCCATTCCTTTGTTGATATTTTCCTTTTTTTGTGTGGTGAGTATCAAATACTGATTAGTTCCCATGTGGTGTCAAATACTGATTGCTCTCAAAGTGGTATCAAATACTGATAACTCCCCATGTGGTGAGTCTCAAATACTGATTACACCCCATGTGGTGAGTCTCAAATACTGGTTACACCCCATGTGGTGAGTCTCAAATACTGGTTACACCCCATGTGGTGAGTCTCAAATACTGATTACACACCATGTAGTGAGTCTCAAATACTGATTACTCCCTGTGTGCGTTCCGGGCCTTGTGGGGAAAATAAGAATAGACCAACTGTCTCCAATAGAAAAAAACTTGTCGTAAGAGTCGAATAATTGGGTAAAACGGATGTGTATGCAACACTTAGGTTCTGAAACAAGACTCAAGTCCAGAGGGAAACGAACAGCCGGAACCACATCTCAGTTCCCCTTGCTCTTTACCTCTCTTAAATTCATCCCATTTAATGTTCCTGGGGCATTTGTTTTCAGATGTGTTGAACTTTCTTTCCATGACTTTGTGAATCAAGAGCTGAAGAAAAGATGCTGGCATTGAATAGGATACACATTGAGAAAACCTGGGAACTGTATTACTAGAATGTCTTTACAGGGGAACCCAGAAAGGCATAAAATAAAGGCAAGATAGAGCTAGAAAGTGAAGTTAAAGAGATGTGGAAAGGGTGGAGGGAGGAGGATGGGGGGAGCTGCATGTGAAAGCAAAGGATAGGATGACTTGTCCTGAGTTGGTAGAGGGCCTGTGCTCCTTTGAGGGATAAAGGGCACAAGAAGAAGACTCCTGTTATGAACCTCGCTGACACACAAGTGAATTGTTCTCTAGCATTGCTTATTTAGAGTTATTGCTGGCCGGGGTGAATTATTCTCTAGCATAGATCAAACAGAGGTGTGGCTGGCCAAGGTGAATTGTTCTCTAGCATTGCTTATTTAGAGTTTAGGCTGGCCGGGGTGAATTATTCTCTAGCATAGATCAAACAGAGTTATGGCTGGCCAAGGTGAAGTATACTCTAGCATTGTTGAATTAGAGTTATGGCTGGCCGAGGTGAATTGTTCTCTAGCATTGCTTATTTAGAGTTATGGCTGGCCGGGGTGAATTATTCTCTAGCATAGATCAAACAGAGGTGTGGCTGGCCAAGGTGAATTGTTCTCTAGCATTGCTTATTTAGAGTTATGGCTGGCCGGGGTGAATTATTCTCTAGCATAGATCAAACAGAGGTGTGGCTGGCCAAGGTGAATTGTTCTCTAGCATTGCTTATTTAGAGTTTAGGCTGGCCGGGGTGAATTATTCTCTAGCATAGATCAAACAGAGTTATGGCTGGCCAAGGTGAAGTATACTCTAGCATTGTTGAATTAGAGTTATGGCTGGCCGAGGTGAATTGTTCTCTAGCATTGCTTATTTAGAGTTATGGCTGGCCGGGGTGAATTATTCTCTAGCATAGATCAAACAGAGGTGTGGCTGGCCAAGGTGAATTGTTCTCTAGCATTGCTTATTTAGAGTTATGGCTGGCCGGGGTGAATTATTCTCTAGCATAGATCAAACAGAGGTGTGGCTGGCCAAGGTGAATTGTTCTCTAGCATAGAGCAAACAGAGTTATGGCTGGCCGGGGTGAATTATTCTCTAGCATAGAGCAAACAGAGTTATGGCTGATCGAGGTGAATTGTTCTCTAGCATAGATCAAACAGAGTTATGGCTGGCCGAGGTGAATTGTTCTCTAGCATAGATCAAACAGAGTTATGGCTGGCTGAGGTGAATTGTTCTCTAGCATAGATCAAACAGAGTTATGGCTGGCCAAGGTGAATTGTTCTCTAGCATAGAGCAAACAGAGTTATGGCTGGCCAAGGTGAATTGTTCTCTAGCATAGAGCAAACAGAGTTATGGCTGGCCGAGGTGAATTGTTCTCTAGCATAGATCAAACAGAGTTATGGCTGGCCGAGGTGAATTGTTCTCTAGCATAGATCAAACAGAGTTATGGCCGGCCAAGGTGAATTGTTCTCTAGCATATAGCAAACAGAATTATGGCTGGCTGGGGTGAATTATTCTCTAGCATAGAGCTAACAGAGTTATGGCCGGCCAAGGTGAATTGTTCTCTAGCATAGATCAAACAGAGTTATGGCTGGCCAAGGTGAATTGTTCTCTAGCATAGATCAAACAGAGTTATGGCTGGCCAAGGTGAATTGTTCTCTACCATAGATCAAACAGAGTTATGGCTGGCCGGGGGTGAATTATTCTCTAGCATAGATCAAACAGAGTTATGGCTGGCCAAGGTGAAGTATACTCTAGCATTGTTGAATTAGAGTTATGGCTGGCCGAGGTGAATTGTTCTCTAGCATAGATCTAACAGAGTTATGGCTGGCCGGGGTGAATTATTCTCTAGCATAGATCAAACAGAGGTGTGGTTGGCCAAGGTGAATTGTTCTCTAGCATTGCTTATTTAGAGTTATGGCTGGCCGGGGTGAATTACTCTCTAGCATAGATCAAACAGAGGTGTGGCTGGCCAAAGTGAATTGTTCTCTAGCATTGCCTATTTAGAGTTATGGTTGGCCGGGGTGAATCATTCTCTAGCATAGATCAAACAGAGGTGTGGCTGGCCAAGGTGAATTGTTCTCTAGCATAGAGCAAACAGAGTTATGGCTGGCCGGGGTGAATTATTCTCTAGCATAGAGCAAACAGAGTTATGGCTGATCGAGGTGAATTGTTCTCTAGCATAGATCAAACAGAGTTATGGCTGGCCGAGATGAATTGTTCTCTAGCATAGATCAAACAGAGTTATGGCTGGCCGAGGTGAATTGTTTTCTAGCATAGATCAAACAGAGTTATGGCTGGCCAAGGTGAATTGTTCTCTAGCATAGAGCAAACAGAGTTATGGCTGGCCGAGGTGAATTGTTCTCTAGCATAGATGAAACAGAGTTATGGCTGGCCGAGGTGAATTGTTCTCTAGCATAGATCAAACAGAGTTATGGCCGGCCAAGGTGAATTGTTCTCTAGCATAGAGCAAACAGAGTTATGGCTGGCCGGGGTGAATTATTCCCTAGCATAGAGCAAACAGAGTTATGGCCGGCCAAGGTGAATTGTTCTCTAGCATAGATCAAACAGAGTTATGGCTGGCCAAGGTGAATTGTTCTCTAGCATAGATCAAACAGAGTTATGGCTGGCCAAGGTGAATTGTTCTCTACCATAGATCAAACAGAGTTATGGCTGGCTGAGGTGAATTGTTCTCTAGCATAGATCAAACAGAGTTATGGCTGGCCAAGGTGAATTGTTCTCTAGCATAGAGCAAACAGAGTTATGGCCGGCCAAGGTGAATTGTTCTCTAGCATAGATCAAACAGAGTTATGGCTGGCCAAGGTGAATTGTTCTCTAGCATAGAGCAAACAGATTTATGGCCGGCCAAGGTGAATTGTTCTCTAGCATAAAGCAAACAGAGTTATGGCCGGCCAAGGTGAATTTTTCTCTAGCATAGAGCAAACAAAGTTATGGCCGGCCAAGGTGAATTGTTCTCTAGCATAGATCAAACAGAGTTATGCCGGCCGAGGTGAATTGTTCTCTAGCATAGATCAAACAGAGTTATGGCTGGCCAAGGTGTAGTGTACTTTAGCATAGATCAAATAGAGTTATAGTTGGCTGAGGTGAATTATTGTTTAACATTACTGTATTAATTAGAGTTATGGCTGGCCGAGGTGAATTACTCTCTAGCATTGCTGAATTAGAGTTATGGTTGGCCAAGGGGAATTATACTCTAGCATTGCTTAAATAGAGTTATAGCTAGCCAAGGTGAATTATTCTCTGGCATTGCTGAATTAGAATTAAGTCCGGCCGAGATGAATTATTCTCTAGCATTGCTGAATTAGAGTTGTGGCTGGCCATGCAGTCAAGTTCACTTTTTCAGGAGACCTAAGTTCAAACCCTCAGTGAGGTGTTGGATTTTTCTGTTGTCAGGGGTAAAAAAAAATCCTAATACTTTATCAGCCATATGACCCTAAATTCCCAGGCTGCAGAATCTCCTTAAAAAAATGGTGTAAATACAGGCCGTAAAGGCGAGTTTTGTTTTTAATTGCTCATTTACCTGGCAGATAATGAGTTAACATGAAATTTGTGGGTTTTTTTTTTTGGGTGTGTGCTCAGTTTACTTGGCAGATAATGAGTTAACGTAAACTATTTCTTTTTTTTTTATTTGCTCATAAGCCTGGCAGATAATGAGTTAACATAAAATATTTCAGTTTTGTGTGTGTGTGTGTGTGTGTGTGGAATTTACTTGCCATTTAGAGTTATCATGATCTATTTCAGTGGCTGTTCGGGTCCTGAAAGAGCTGGACTTAAAAAAAAAAAAAATGGCCTTGTGTCGGTACCCATTGCAATTCTGGGAAGTAAAAGTGGCCGGCATGATGCTGACCACATCACCCATCAAGTGCCGAGATTGTTCTATAGAATATAGGCCTAGCCCTATATGCCCACTACGCTTTGAGGTGTGATAAAGGGTTCTTTATTTGTTTTGTGTTTTGAAATATTTTTTAGTTAGTTAGTTGGGTTATGATCATTGCACTCCGGACATGTCCATAGGTTCTTAGATCCTCCCCTCAGTATGAACCCCAGCGTGCTGTGACTAATAGTGCCAGTTCTTTGTTGATTGATAAGTTTTTACATTTGTTTTCTATTCCAGTGGCTGCCGGAGAGTGCCCGCTATGACATGACCAGGGGCTACTATGACAAGGCTCTGAAGACGCTGGAGAGGATTGCTCGAGACAATGGAAAACCCATGCCCCTGGGCAAGCTGGTGGAGTCCACTACACATGGCTATGTATGGGTTAATGTTTGTTGTTTTTGTTTAAATTGTTGCTGTCCTGTCCTCACCTACTGCATCCTATCCTGTTTTGTTCTGTCCAGTGATATCTTAACATATCCTCTTCTTCTTCTTCTTTTTCTTCTTCTACTTTTTCTTCTTCTTCTTCTTTGTTCACCTGCTGTAAGCTGTGGTCTAAAGTCCTTGTTGTTCATCCATTTGGACTTGGGCTTGTGCCAGGGCCTGAGTTTTTTACATGTACATCTGTTTTACTGACATATTTGTGTGCAGTTGTTGGTTGTTTCTTGCCGCTCAGGCGGATGCATTCTGACTTTTAAGGAAGACCCCAATTATTCAACTCCTATGACATGCTTGTTGGGGAGGCAGTGGGTCTGTTCTTGTTTTCCCCACAGTGGGACCCCAGGACCCACACCGGGGAATATCTAATTCTATTCTATCTGATTGAATCCTATATTGGAATACTGATGCATGATAAGACAGATGTGGTTAAATATTCCTGCCTGTAAGCCTAGTGAACGCAAGATGCAGCGATTTTTCGTCTCTCTTTACTACCCTTAAGGCCTCCGATGCTAAACCCCAGGTACTGAAAGAGTTAATGCCTCATGGGAGCATGAGTACAATTCGGAACAGCAAATTAATTGTCACAGTCTGTTGAGAATGAGGCAGCGAGGAGTAACGAGGCGATTTAGCCGATACTCGATGCTTAGAGAAAAGACAAGACAGACATATAATCAGACTGCTACTGGCACCATTAGTATTAGAACTCTGCATAAGCTGCTGAAGATGGGGACAGAGTGCTTATGGGAATGCCCCAAGTGATGTGATGTCTGAATCAACTCCTCATCCTTCAATATCCTGTTCTATTCTGTTATATTCTGTCCTGTCATATTTTATCGAAGAATAGGAGGGCAAAGAAGAAACTGGAATGACAACATCAAGAAGTAGAGAGGATTAGGTTATTATTCACTTATTCATCAAGCGGAAAACAGAGAAAGATGACGGGTTTTATGTGCTAGTGCTTCCATTGATACACCTCCACAACACTAACAGGTCAAGGGCTGTATTCCCCCCCCCCCTTTCTTCCTCCCCCCCCCCCTCCCCCCCCATCCTTTTTTTCCCACCAAGCTGGGGATTTTTGGTTGACCAGCACAAAATAGGAACCAGCAGATGTTCTGGAAAATAAAGGCGGCTGGCTTGATAGTGAGCTTGTCATCCACCGAGTGGCCGTAGGTGTGTGCAGATATGGTGACTGACTTAGTATACCCAATCCACCTCAAAGATTTGATAATACTTTTTTGTTTGGTTTTTGTTGGTGTGTTTTGCGGTTTCTATAATTGTGTGCATTCCATTTTATCAGCATATCGTAAAACGGGGACAAATCAAGGACCTGTTTATGCCAGAACTCAAGGTCACCACCATTTTACTGTGGATCATCTGGTGAGTTTTACACATCTAAACATTTTACAGCTGTCTTGTGATAAAACCTAGATGTGTTACAGCTGTCTTGTGATAAAACCTAGACGTGTTACAGCTGTCTTGTGATAAAACCTAGATGTGTTACAGCTGTCTTGTGATAAAACTAGATGTGTTACAGCTATCTTGTGATAAAACCTAGATGTGTTCCAGCTGTCTTGTGATAAAACCTAGATGTGTTACAGCTATCTTGTGATAAAACCTAGATGTGTTCCAGCTGTCTTGTGATAAAACCTAGATGTGTTCCAGCTGTCTTGTGATAAGACCTAGATGTGTTACAGCTGTCTTGTGATAAGACCTAGATGTGTTCCAGCTGTCTTGTGATAAAACCTAGATGTGTTCCAGCTGTCTTGTGATAAGACCTAGATGTGTTACAGCTGTCTTGTGATAAGACCTAGATGTGTTCCAGCTGTCTTGTGATAAAACCTAGATGTGTTCCAGCTGTCTTGTGATAAAACCTAGATGTTTTACAGCTGTCTTGTGATAAGACCTAGATGTGCTCCAGCTGTCTTGTGATAAAACCTAGATCTTTTACAGCTGTCTTGTGATAAGATCTAGATGTGTTACAGCTGTCTTGTGATAAAACCTAGATGTTTTACAGCTGTCTTGTGATAAGACCTAGATGTGTTCCAGCTGTCTTGTGATAAAACCTAGATGTTTTACAGCTATCTTGTGATAAAACCTAGATGTGCTCCAGCTGTCTTGTGATAAAACCTAGATGTGTTACAGCTGTCTTGTGATAAAACCTAGATGTGTTCCAGCTGTCTTATGATAAAACCTAGATGTGTTCCAGCTGTCTTGTGATAAAACCTAGATGTGTTCCAGCTGTCTTGTGATAAAACCTAGATGTGTTCCAGCTGTCTTGTGATAAAACCTAGATGTGTTCCAGCTGTCTTGTGATAAAAACTAGATGTGTTCCAGCTGTCTTGTGATAAAACCTAGATGTGCTCCAGCTATGTTGTGATAAGACCTGGATATTTTATACAGCTGTCTTGTGATAAAACCTAGATATTTTATACAGCTGTCTTGTGATAAAACCTAGATGTGCTCCAGCTATGTTGTGATAAGACCTGGATATTTTATACAGCTGTCTTGTCATAAAACCTAGATCTTTTATACAGCTGTCTTGTGACTTATTTGTATGCAGACTGTTGGTTCCTTGCCTCTCAGGCAGATGCACTCCAACTTTGAAGGAAACCCCCAATTAGTCGACTTCTCCGACATGCTTGTTGGGGAGGCAATGGGGTCTATTGTTATTTCCCCACAATGGGGCCCCATAAAGAATTCTTTAAGTCTTTAGGTATATAGGGTTAGACCTAAATTGTATAGACCAATCAGCACTGGATAAAGGATCCTTTTCCACGTCTTTAGGCATATATGGCATATAGGCCTAGACATATGTTTTATAGACCAGTTGACGTGCGGTAATGTAGTCAACATCATGCTGGCCACCTTTACTTCCTGGGTTGAACCTGGTACCCAATTAAGGCTAGGTTGTCCTATAAGCCTAGGTCTTTTTTTTTTCTTTGGGGGGGGGGGGGGGGGGGGTTTACACTGACGAATCATATTTGTATAAAACTCATGAATGTTATAATATTTGGGGGAGGGGGGGGGGTGGACTCGGTGCCCCCCCCCCCCCATAATCATTTAATTGGAGATGACTAATTCTGGGTGTTTTCGAAGTGCATGAGAGCTGAGAAACTGTCTGCATACAAATAAGACAGGTGTGCAAAAGGACAAGAGTCCAGAGGTGGATGAACAACCAAAACTTTGAAATCAGAGTACATCTGCCAGAAAGCTGAGGAACCAGCAGCTTACATACAAATAAACCAGATCTTTGAAATGGATGTACCTGTAAAGTTAAAGTCATGGAGCTAGATCAACCCTGAAGTGGATCAACAACCAGAACTTTCAGACGGTGGACATTAGAAGGAAGAATTAGTTGATTTTTACGACAAGTTTTGGGGGCAGTCAGTTTATTCCCTCCCACCCTCCCCTTCCAAATGGAGGCCTTGAAATCCATATGGGAAAAAACTTGTTATAACTTCCAAGCTAATGCATTTAATGATTATTGTTATTTTGGGACAAGTACAAAAATTTAAGTATCTGGGCACATGGATAACATCAGATGGAAGATGCATAACTGAGATAAGAAGCAATAGGATAGGCAAAAACTGCATTTAATAAAATGAAGAACATCTTGTGCAATATATTTTGTCATTGAGAGTTAGAAAAAAGAATTCTTGCTTGCTACATACATCCAGTTTAAACATATGGCTGTGAATCCTGGACGATCGGTGGCAGGCTAAACAATTTGTTGAGGCCTCAGAGATGTGGTTTTACAGAAGAATGCTTAGAATACCTTGGACGACCAAAAAAGAGCAACCAAGAGGTTTTGAAAGAGGCGGGAGCCCGAAGACAACTTAACACAGATATCAGAAGGAGAAAATGATCATTTTTCGGCCATGAGAAGAGGGAAAATAGAACATGTTGTGACCACTAGAAAGATCTGTGGAAGGAGGGATAGAGAAAACAATGAGAGAAGATTCTTGACAGTCTGTCTTGTTGCATGACATGGAGGTGTGTCAGCACACGAACTGATTCTTGCTGCAGGAGATCGCAGATTGTGGAGAGGCATGATCGCCCGCGCCAGTCGGCAAGGCACCTGATGATGATGATGAGTGTCAGTATGGCCGAGTGGTCAAAATCACCAGACTCATAGTTCATAACCTTTCCTGTGATATATTTTTAGTCATTTGTTTTATCCCACTAGGCTGGTGTGTGCTTTCTCCTACTACGGCATTGTTTTGCTAACCACAGCGATGTTTGAAAACCCTGATGGCTGTCACGGTAAGCTCCACTTTGGTGGTCCACCTCTAGATTTGCTGCCTCTTGTATTTACTAAGTTGCCTTCTATGAAGTGTGTGAGTGCAGTGAAATGTTTACGTACTGTGATAGGTATAACGAGGAAAGATTGACTTAGGAATGATGATAGGAGGAGAGTCGGCACAGAACCAATACTGAACTTTATAGGTAGACAACAGATCAAATGGTTTGGCCATATAACAAGATTGGCATCAGACAGGGCACCACAGAGACAAGTGTTATACAGATACAACGGTAACAGAGCCAGAGGTCGACCACACAGAAGATGGACCATAGAAATATCAGACACTGAAAAGTACTATATGTAAAGCGAAAAGAAGGACCAGCTCCAGAGATCTCTTCCTGCCCTGATGCTGTGGGGCATTCCAATAGTAGAGTAGAGAAGAAAAAGGTGTCTGTGGCTTAGGCGTTACCAACGCGCTTCTTAATTTCGGGGTACTGAGTTCGATCCCAGCTGTGAATGATTTGTCTTGTGTTGGTTTTGACAGTGGTAGTAAGAGCATTCAGGAAGCAATGGCAAACTACTGAACCTATTATTTGCCTAGAAAAACCACAAAGGCCAAAAAATGCTGGAGTTGGTTCTGCAATGTCCTGTAAAGGATACGCAAATAGCTTGTATTTACTGGTTCACGGTCACTCTTGCTGAATTTGCCAATTATTTCTCATCTTGGGAGTCACTGCAGCACTGTGGCCAGTGAACTGGTACATATTTTCCTTGAGGAGGGAGGTTTTATAGGCAGCATGGTTCATTTTTCTTCTTCTTCTTCTTCTTCTTTGTCATCGTTTATTTCTTCTTCTCTTCCTCCTCCTTCTTTTCTTTTCTGCCTTTTTTTTCTTCTTCTTCATCATCATCATGCTGCACTACTTTTTTCTTCTTTACACTAAGGGGGCAAGCCATTTGATTTTGTTGCCCTTCCGTGTATTTTAGAACTGTTTCTGTCTCTTATGGCCTCATTTCTAATTTATCTCTTTTGGCCACTGCTGCATCCCTTCTCACACTTCTCTTTTCCATGTTTACTAGTGTTGTGAGTGACAGTGTCTGGCCCTCGGTAGCACAGAGTGGGAATAAATATGCTTTGTATGAGATGTTTCTTTGTGCTGATTGGGATTGTCTCATGCTGTTTTGGTGGAAGGGGAGGGGGGGGGCCTCGATGTCCCAGTACTTGGTTTGCTTTACTGCATCTGATGTTAATTTCTTCAACCAATTTCCCATCTTTGGTGAATGTTGTTCCTAGAATTTTAAACTCAGATGCCTGTTTAATGTTTTGTGTGTGTGCTGTACTGCTATATTTAGGTTCTACTTCTTTCTTCCTGTTGACATTACTTCTGTCTTTTCAGTAATAATTTTTTTTATATTTTTTAAATACATTTTTAAAACTGTTCTTCTTCTTCGCGTTTACCAGCTGTAAACTTTGGTGAAAAGTTCTGGCTGTTTGTCCACTTCTGAACTGCTGTCCTGTTCCAGAACTTGAGTGTTGCCTGTGCATCCATTTGACAGATGTAATTTGTAAGCAGACTGTTGGTTCCTCGCCTCTCAGGCAGATGCACACCGACTTTGAAGGAAGCTCCCAATTAGTCAATTCTTACGACATGCTTTGGGATAGGCAGTAGGTCTATTCTTGTTTTCCCTATAACAAGGCCCTGGAACCCACACAAGGATTTTTAATTCTTAGATGATAGATGTTGTTGCAGTTTTGTGGCTATTTCTGCTCTCAGTGTCCGATTGGGTCAATAATTGTAATGTGTTGCAGGTACTGATGTGAAGTTTAACCCTAACCCCAGCTGTTTCTTGGAGTGTAAAACCCTGACCACCAAGGATTACAAGGACCTCACCTGGACCACCTTTGCAGAGTTCCCAGGTAAGCTTGTAGTCCAAGCCATATGGTATTTGTCATCATGTATCTTGGTATCCTCTTCTTGCTTTTTGTCCAGGATGTGCCGGTGTGGTGAAAAATTAACAGCCAGATAGCTTGGCTGATTCTACACCACATGGTGGTAAATTGATGCCTGACAAGCTAGATTTTGTAAGGGCACTTGGAGACAGTGTGGAGGCACAAACAGATCATCACAGCATGAAGAGAATGGTACAGCAAGGAGTGATCTAGGGGATTTGGAAGGGAAAATAATTACAGGGAGGCAAATCTGGGGAAAAGGGTGGATGGGTTATGAACACACACTTCTTTTTTGGCCAAAAAAAATATTGTACAACTGCCGCCCAGTGAGCCGGTGCATTGTCATTAAGAAAGACAAAACTGCCAGGTGTTGAATACTTGGGTCGGACACGGAGAATCCTTTTCAGTAGATGTTTCAGAATTCTTAAATAAACTGTGGCTGTCACAGTCTTGCCCTCTGGAATAAATTCTTTGTGAATAACTCCTTTGCTGTTGTAGAAGCACACCAGCATTGTCTTCACTTTCAACTTTTAAAGACAGATTTTTTTGCCTTTTAGTGATGATGATGACTTCCACCGATCACTTTGATGTTTAGTTATGGGATCATAGCGGAAAATCCATGTTTCATCCTCTGCAACAATCTTATTTAGGAAATGTTTATTTCTGTGACATGTTTTGATGATGTCTTTTGCGTACTCAACATGCTGATGTTTTTGGTCATCAGACAACGAGTGTGGTACTAACTGGCAAGCAACTTTTTTCTTGCCCAAATCTTCCACTAAAATTGTACTAGAATGGTTTCTCTATTAACACCAGATTTACCTGCCATCATCCTCACAGTTGAACAACGATCTTCCTGTATCCGTTCTCTGACTTTTAAAATGAGTTCCTCATTATGAACAGAAATTGGGCGTCCAGGTCTAGTTGCATTAGTAATTATTTCCACACCACTTTTGAATCATAAGTGCCAACTGAAAATCTGTCCAGGAGATAAACAATTATCCCCATAAACTTGTTGCATCAATTCAAGGGTCTCAGTGGCGCTTTTTGTGAGTTTTAAATAGAATTTAATGTACATTTTTTGCTCCACACTGATTAGGTTACAATGCACCTCTGAGTAGGTCAACGAAATGGCAGCTTGTTTGTTGTCTGCTTATTGGGCGGCGATGAAAAGTTGCCAGATCAGAGGGGAAGTTTGCCTCTTTAGATTCCATGTTTTGCTTCATAGATGGCATTTTTGTCTTAAATCAGTCTCATTACTTAATTGTCGGGCGTTGTGTGATGCCCTGGAGGATGATGATTCTGAAGACTTTTATTTTTACATAATCTTTCCCAGGCAAAGAAACGAACGAACGAACTTTATTTTCAAAGGGTCACAAATTGGGCACGCAGGCCTGTCTTACATTCGGCCCTTACAGTCAACCATCTTTTGCACAGCAGTTGTATTTTACTAATAAAGCATGTTATGATCATATGATGTTATGCATATTATGAATATTATAAAAGAACACAAAAGCATGAGTTGTAAAGTGCATGCAAAAACCCGCGCATGCATACATACACCCACATACACATGCTCACCCAATCACTTACACACACAAACATGCATGCATACATTACATACATACATACACACATACATACAAACATGCTTACACACATACACACAGGCATACGTACACACAAACATACATACAGGCATACATACATACATTCATACATACATACGTAATACAATCATACACACATACAGTCATAAATACAGTCATGAATGGAGACACACACATGCACACGGACACTCCCACAGAGACACACACACTCAGACAAAAATACAGACACACACACAGACACCTACATATAAACACACACAGGGAAACACACAGCACACATATTTACATTTGTGCTCACACACTGACACACACACCACACATACGCAGACAAACATGCAGACACATACTTACAGCCACATAGACACACACGCAGTCAAACACACAAATACAGACAAACAGGCAGACAAACACATACTGACACCCACAGAGACAAACACGCAGAAATGCATACACATACAAACACATAGAAATACACACACAGACACATATATTCAGCACGCACAGACATATACTCTGACATGCAGACACATTCAGACAACAAAGGGGCACACACAACACACACAGAGAAACACACATAGACATGCACAGACAGACAGACACATGCTGACACATACACTCACGCAGACAGACATACAGACACCCACACACAGAGATACATACATACAGCCTTATAGACACACCCGCAGACAAAACACATAAACATACACAGGCAAACATGAAGACAAACACATACGGGGACACACACAGACTGCAGAAAAACACCAAGACACACACACATGCAGACAAACACAGAGACACACACACAGACACATATTCACAGCTACATGTATCCAATCGCACACACACACATGCAGACACACATACACAGCAAAGAGGCACACTTAACACACACAGAAACCAGTTCACACTGAAACATACACGTGGACATATATGCCGCGAACACACACACACATTCGCACATACACAAGGACACAGACGCATACATTCGCAGACACACACGCAGATACACAGCAGACAAACAAATACAACATACTCAGATGGGTCATATGTATAAAAACACGCCTACACATACATACATATCAAAGCATAACACGCGTACGCGCAAACATACATATCATACACACCTTGTTTAATAATAAATTGATAATGCAATATGGGTTACATTACATTCAAGGTGGCATATAATCGCTTGTAAGTATGAATTGAAAAAGTTTACGGTTAAATGAATAGGGACTTTTAGGATTTTTCAGTTTAGTGGAAGTTGGTTCCACAAATGAACAGCGGAGTAAGGAACAGGTCTGAGGTAGCTGTGGAGCCAGTCATCAGGGACAGTGCAGCTTTTGATGCTTGCATTCAGTGCCCTGGATAGTTCATCTGTTCCAGATACTTCACAATCTTTGTTATGCTGGTCAATATATGCACTACAAGGTAACTTTCAGATAACAATCTTTGTTATGCTGGTCAATATATGCACTACAAGGTAACTAGATACTTCACAATCTTTGTTATGCTGGTCAATATATGCACTACAAGGTAACTTCCAGATACTTCACAATCTTTGTTATGCTGGTCAATATATGCACTACAAGGTAACTTCCAGATACTTCACAATCTTTGTTATGCTGGTCAATATATGCACTGGTGAACTTCCAGATACTTCACAATCTTTGTTATGGCTGGCAATATATGCACTACAAGGTAACTTCCAGAGTAACTTCAATATATGCACTACAAGGTAACTTCCAGATACTTCACAATCTTTGTTATGCTGGTCAATATATGCACTACAAGGTAACTTCCAGATACTTCACAATCTTTGTTATGCTGGTTAATATATGCACTACAAGGTAACTTCCAGATACTTCACAATCTTTGTTATGCTGGTCAATATATGCACTACAAGGTAACTTCCAGATACTTCACAATCTTTGTTATGCTGGTTAATATATGCACTACAAGGTAACTTCCAGATACTTCACAATCTTTGTTATGCTGGTTAATATATGCACTATAAGGTAACTTCCGTGTTCGTCTGATGCTGTGCTGTGTGGAATGTAGAAATATGTCATTTAATTTGTCTGTGACAAATAGACTAGAAATTTTTGTTATGATGAGTAGGAAACCTCCAGAATTGATGGGGAGGACATGGTAAAAGCTGCATGCTAAATCGAAGGATAGAACGGCATTTGGGTTGAGTTGGTTGAGGGTCTGTGCTCCACTGGGGGGTTAGAAAGGAAGAAAATAAAGAAGAGTAGAAACAACAGAAATGAAATATCTATAATGAATTCTAAATGACGATATCAGGAAAGAGGAGAGACGATGGGACAGAACCAGTACTAAATTAAGCAAGAGACAGCAGATCACGTAGTTTGGACAAGTGTCAAGACTATCACTAGAGGTTGCACCACAGAGAGCACTGTTACACAGACATAAGGGAAGCAGAGCTAATGGTGGACCATACAAGCCATGGATAGATGGAATATCCAAGGCCGTAAATACCAGCATCTTCGTAGCGCGTGCCACTGATCGCACTTGATACCTCTTCAGAACATTCTCTTCAAAACTCCACAGGCTCCGCAATAAATAGCAATTCAGACTTGTTCGACAGACAGCAGCAGGAGGATGCCATAACAGTACAAAGATTAAACAGCAGGAAAAGTCTATGGTTAAGTACCAACAAGGAAATTAGAAAATTAACGTTTTCAAAGCATGCATTTTCCTTGTAGCAACATGCGGATATGAGTCGTGGACTATCTCCCAGTCCTTAGGGAAGAAAATAGGGGCTTTTGAGCTGAAATGCTATAGAAATATTCACAGAATACTATGGACAAAGAAAAGAAACACTGACATTTTAAAGGATCCGAACATCAAGGATGATTGGCATCTTGTCTCAGAAGCTGAAATACTTAGGTCTTATCAAACGCTATTGCGGATTGGAAAAATTAATAGAGAAAGCATGGTACTCGGAAGAAGGGGCAAGGGGCCGACCAACACGAAGATTGGCACAGGATATGTGATTGCTTGAATATGAAAGTGCACAAGGCAGGAGAGCTGGTGAGAGACTGAGGTTTTTTCAGACAGAATGTGATGAGAGCGATGTTCTGCCAAGGTCCTGAGGCATTATGATGATGATGTTCATAGCAACACTATGCTACTGTTGCCAAACCTGGACATTATCAAAGCTGACCTGCGTAAAATTACCATTTGTGAGATGAGATGACTGAGGAGAGCTGACAGCTTGACTTATCCGATATAGAATGAGATATGATACCATCAGACAGACTGTGGGAACAACACTGTACACAAGATTAATTGAGAAGCGGAAGAACAGATGGTTCAGTCATGTTAGAATGCAGCCACAGCAGCTGCCAACACATGTGCTACACCTAAGAAGATCTGGCATGAGAGCAAGAGAACACTAAGGGAATCATGGATGGATAATGTCAACACAAAATGACTTCAGAAAGCAAGTGCACTTTTATACATTATTAAGACAACCAAGCATACGAGTGAAAATAGACAGATTATGTATTCATTCCAACATTAAGCTACCAGTGCCAAACATGGACACTATCTAAAGCCCATATACGCAAAATCACCATCTGCAAGATGAGGTGCCTGAGAAAAGCAGCCAACCTGACCATCCGAGATCAAGTGAATAATGAAACTATCATACAAACTGTGGAAACGACACCTTGTACTAGATTCATCGAGAAACAACGGATCAAGTGGTTTGGCCATCTCATTAGAATGCAGCAAGATCAAATACCATCACAAGTACTATATCTCAGAAGATCAGCTTCAAGAGCAAGAGGATGGCCGTGGAAATTAGGGATCGACAACATTAAAGACACTCTACGCCTTTGCTTCATGACAATAGCCAGTGGTAGCCAACGTGCACTGGATCGCAAATTATTCCTTCCAACGCCGCTTAACGGCAGAAGTGGTTTATGATGATGATGATGATGATGATGGAACACAGATTGACAGGAGCCAGTGCTACCCATCGAGCAGTGGATCACAATTTGTTCTTCCTCCATGACACTTTGTGAAACAAGTACAAAGGACTATGATGATTATGATGACAACGGCAGCAGTGGCGGTGACGACAGCGATGATCTCCAACTCTGCTGTCTCCACCAATACTAAGTACCCTTTTGTGATGATGTCCAACCCTGCTGTCTCCACCAATACTAAGTACCCTTTTGTGATGATGTCCAGCCCTGCTGTCTCCACCAATACTAAGTACCCATCTACCCATCAAAACATACCCCTGTTTAAGACAGGAATACTAAACCTGCAAGTTATCTCGATCAACAAATGCATATTACCTCTGTTTCCAGGGTACTCCTGACCTTCTTCCTGTTTGTAGCAAGAGCATTTATCTCGGGAGCATTCCAGGGTGCTTATGTTTACACTCCAGAGGTGGGTTCACATTGTTTGTCACATCATCATCATCATCAACAACATAATTATGATTAACATATAATTAAAAACATTTTTTCTTCTTTGATCCTTCTGTCAGAAATCTTATATCAGGAGGCCGGTAGCCTTTATGAAAGCTTTCGTGCAGTCCATATCTTCCCGTGTATTCTCCGCTTTGTCTTCACTGGGGCTGGACAGGCCAGATTGCGTCTCTGTTGACAGCCTACAGTTGACAATGTTGGAACCCCTGCTCAGCATTTGCTGGTGCCACGCTGCAGGGACACGTTTCTGTGTTTCCTACACCGAAAAGTTGGAACGTATGTTGGGGAAGTCTTTTGTGCCCTGTTCTCAGTCTGAATATAACACATTATTCCTCACTAGAGAGACGAAGAAATGAGTATTGAAGAGAACATTTGGTGTGTGTATATCTGGCAACCTTTCTTGGATACTAGATTGTATTAATGTCTTAGTCTCTTGGTGGGTCAAGTCACTATTTGACTGCACCATATCACTGCTGCTTCTAGCCAGTCTGTCCACTGTTTGCCTTTCAAACCAGAATGACCTGGAATCCACAGCAGCACAGATGGTTCTACTGAAGAGCCTAAGTGAATCAGCTGTTGCATCAAGTCTACAAACTGCGTGTCTCTTGGGTTAGCAGTTGCTTCTAGAACTGACATAGCATCAGTCAGAAAGACCCATCTGCTATATTTGCTGTGCTGTTGTCCATTTGGGAAAGAACATGCCACCAGAAGTGAATCTGCCTCTGTTCTGTAATTGGAGGACTATGAACTTGTTGGTGTAGCTTGTTCAGTTTTAAAACATTTGGGCATTCTATGTAAATTCCTCTTTCTCCATCTCTTACTGCTCTCTTGGTTGAACCATCTCTATAAAGTCTAAACCAACTCTGGTGTGGATAAAGTCTGTTGATTTCTCCCTTGGTAGTGGACTTCATAGCTGTGCTTAGACCCACTTCTCTTGATTGCCGAGAGATTCAAGAAGCCTTGTCTGCGCTGGGCCAGTATACTCCTCTGAGCTCAGTAGCACCGGATCATGAGCATACATGACAGCTTAAACTCCATTACAGAGGGTTGATTTTATATCATTAATATAGAGGAGGAAAAGAAGTGGGGACAGAACGCCGCCTTGTGGGACTCCATATTTTATTCTGACTGGTCTACTTCTTGAAATCTTGCAGTTTGATTTTTGAGGAATACCTAAGCATGTGATGGCATTTTCTACTTTGAAGTTGCTTTTGATACAGCCCAGTTTTCCATACTTTATCTATGGCCTTTTCATATCCACCCAGATTGCATTAGTCTGTTTCTTTTCCCTAGAATGCATCCTCAGTGTATTGAGTAAACAATATAATTTGATCTTCTGTTGATCTACAACATTAGAAACCTGCCTGCTCCTCCTTTAGTTTTAAAATGTTTCTCTAGGAACCAGGTGAGATGGTTGTTAACTCTTTGAGTCTCAGAGGGTTTAGCATCACAGGCCCAAGGGGTAGTCAAAAGAGACTAAAATCGGCGCATCGTGCATTCATTGGGCTTCTAGGCGGTAACCTATGAAAGTATGATGTGTTCCTTGGGACTCAAAGAGTTAACAATTAGTGATGCTGATGGTTCTGTAGCAGTCTGCATTGTTTTTTTTGGCTTTCATTGCTTGAGAATTTCAGACTTTCTTCAGACTGGAGGAAATCTACTAAAAATCCAACTGGCATTAAAGATAATTAGTAATTTTCTTTTCGGCTCTTGGTCCGATGTGTAGTAACACATCATTGGTGACTTTGTCAGGTCCAGGGGCTTGATTAGATTTCAGCTGATTTAATCCTGTGTTACGTTCGCTCATAGAGAATTTATCTGTCTTGATACTCTCTTACTGTTGCCATCACCTTGTCACTGTCCCTGTGACTGTCACCCTCATTATCACTCTTACTATTATCACTGTCACTATCATTATTATCTATGTCATTACTACTATTGTCACTGTCACCATCACCATTGTTCTGTCACCATCACCATTGTTCTGTCACCATCACCATTGTTCTGTCACCATCACCAATGTTCTGTCACCATCACCATTGTTCTGTCACCATCACCATTGTTGTGTCACCATCACCATTGTTCTGTCACCTTCATTATCATTATCACTGTCACCATCACCATTGTTCTGTCACCATCACCATTGTTCTGTCACCATCACCATTGTCACTGTCACCATCGTTCTTATCTACGTCATTATTACCATTGTCACTGTTACATTTGTAACTGTCACCTCCATTATTATCACTGCCACCATCATCATTCTCACTGTTATAGTCATTATTATCACTGTCATTATTACCATTGTCACTGTCACTATTGCCATGTGACCGTTGTACTGTCACCTTCATTATCGTCACTGTCACCATTGTCACTGTCACCATTGTCACTGTCATCATCACAATTGTAACTGTCACCTTCATTATCATTATCACTGTCACCATCTCCATTGTCACTGTTACAGTCATTATTATCATTGTCATTATTACCATTGTCACTGTCACTATTGTCACTGTTACAGTCATTATTATCATTGTCATTATTACCATTGTCACTGTCACTATTGTCACTGTTACAGTCATTATTATCATTGTCATTATTACCATTGTCACTGTCACTATTGTCACTGTTACAGTCATTATTATCATTGTCATTATTACCATTGTCACTGTCACTATTGTCACTGTTACCGTCATTATTATCATTGTCATTATTACCATTGTCACTGTCACTATTGTCCCTGTCACCGTCACCATTGATTGTTACCGTCACCGTCACTATTATGAAGACTGTGACTCAGAACCCCTGATTTCATTAACAGGTGTACCCAACATCCATGCGAGCCTTAGGTCTGGGCACTTGTAGCGGGATGGCCAGGATTGGGGCCATTGTGACACCTTTTATAGCACAGGTCAGTGAATATTTGCTGCTGCTTTTACTTACGCCCTATTTTGTTTTCTTATGCCGATAAAATGGGAACCTCTTGCCAACAGTCTGCATACAAATAAACCATATCTGTAAAATTCATGTGCAGGCAAAATCCAGTTGGTGGAACAAGACGGAAATGCAGAAGTGGACAAACAACCAGATCTTTCTGCTGAAGTTTACCAGGTGAACACAAAAAACAAGAAGAAGAAGATGAGATCCCTCAATGAGGCAAATGTTTTTGATTGACCTGGGATCCCAAGTCGACCATCTGAAATAAATACCAGGAAACCTCCTGGAAAGTGGCCAGTGTGGTATTGACCACATCACTATTTCAGTGCCGATTGGTCTATAAAATGTTTGTCTGTTCAAAAAATATCCTGCCTGTGGACTGAACAATTACTATCGTGAAAAGACATTAAAGCAAACGAAAAGTGGAACCAGCCAGTTTCACATTGTCGCAAACACAAACGACAAGTGAATTAAAGTTAAAGGTTAAAGTTGAAAGGATTGACTTGATTGCACCAGGTTTTTATCTCAAATGGCTCGGTCTCTCAGCAGAACGGCTGACTGCCTGCTGACAGTGCCACACAGAGCAGGAACTCCGTAGCCCAGTGACGATCCCCAGGGATCTCCGTAAAAATTGCACTCATGAACTGAAGGGGGCAGCTGTAAAACGATCCCATGACCTTCAGAGCATAAAGTTGTTGTTGTTGTTATCGATCCAGCGGCGCATGAGCTTTCGCCCTTTGGCCCAATGCCATGTAGTGGAATTTGCATGTTTTCACAAGCTGTTCTTTTTCTCCGTACAAGGTGTTCCACTTGTCTGGTCTCGGAGGGAGTAGCGTTCTTCTTGTCTCACTGAGTTTTGGGCACTCAAAGAGATGGTGTTCAACAGTTTTGTAGGGGTAGTTACATAGCTGGCACTCTGGGGAGTGTTGTGGCTGTATTCTGTTTAGGTGTCCATTGAGTGGAGTATGTTGCGTTCTAAGTCTGAAGATGGTGGCCTGGTCCCTTCTTGTTAGATGGTTAATGCTGTCATTAGGATCAGGGCCAGACATATGTCTATAAACCTCTCTTCCAGTGTCTCCCATGGCCCATCTGTTCAACCAAGTCTCTTTGTTTATAGCTCTTATCAGTGTTTTTGCTGTCTGGAGGGTTGTCGCTGTAGGTGGTTGTTCTTGTGTTGCTCCTTTCTTTGCCAATCTGTCAGCTCTGTCATTACCTGGTGTGCCGGAGTGACCTGGAATCCACTGCATCACTATTCTGATGTTGTATGAGGTAATAAGCTGATCGGCATCCAGGATTATCTTGGCTATGTCAGTTCTGCAGCGTTCATTGCCCTCCAGAGCTTGAAGGGCAGACATTGAGTCTGTGAAGATGACAATATTTTGGACCTTTGAGGGGTAAACATCCATTACAGTCTTTAGGTGGTATACTGCTGTTTCCAGTGCAATTATTTCAGCTTCATAGTTTGAACAGAATTCCCCGCATGCATCAAAAATCTCTTCAACAGATCCATCGGGATAACCTATGTAGATTCCGTAACCTGCTTTAATGGTAGCTTTAAATGCTGATCCATCAGTATAGACATGTATCCATTCTTGGGGGTAAGAATCAACGGTCTTTAGTGATGAGTTCATAAGAGCGATTGGGTCGGACTGTTTGGTTTCCTCGCCTACCAATTTAGTTTGGACTTCTGGAGCTTTAAAGCGAGCATGTGGTGGTAGGTTTTTTTGCAACATTCTGAATTCCTTGACGTCTTTCTGGGAGGTGGTATCTGTCCTGAATTTCATTAACACAGTGTAAAACCGATTTGTGCTTTATTCTTTGTTTGGATTCCCAGTTTTCTACAAGATGTCTATTAGGATGGTTACGATTTTTCCTAACGCATCTTTCATAAATTTCTAAAGTGGCTTTTTCTCTCCGCAACCCGAGGGGTTCCACATTTGTATGGATTTCACATGCAGCAGTTGGTGTAGACTGCATAGCTCCGCAGATTAATCGGAGGGCATTATTTTGTACTCTGTCAAGAGTCTCTAGGTTAGTTTTGGAACAAGTTGTAAGCAGTGAGTTGTTGTACTCTATCACAGAGCGAACATATCCTAGGTATAAGCCCCTCAGAGTTTCCTTGTCTGATCCCCATGATGTACCTGCAAGTCTCTTTAATAACTGTAACCGCCTCAATGCCTTATTCCTGATGTTTTCAATATGGTTCTTGAGGCTGAGCTGCGGGTCAAGTGTGACTCCAAGGTATGTGGGATGCTCTTCTTTCATCACTTGGTGTTTGTCTAACCTCAGGTTAATATTCTTCCTTGCTACTTGGTGGCTTTTGGTAAAGATTGTGTAGACCGTCTTTGCACAGTTAATCTTGAGTTTCCATCTTTGGCAGTAATCATGCAGTCTTCTAAGGTCTCCATTCAGTCTTTGGGCTCCACTTTCCACATTTTCATGACTCTGCCATATTGCTAGGTCATCAGCGTACAAGGCTTTTTCGGCCTTGATTTGTTCTGGCAGGTCATTGATAAAGATTAGGAATAGTGTACAGCTCAATGATGAGCCTTGTGGCAAGCCCTCCTCCAAGACTTCTTTAGAAGAGATTGCGTTGTGCATCTTAGTCTGGATTGTTCTATCTATCAGGAAGTATTTCACCCAGTTATACAATCTGCCATGTATTCCTATGCTCATCATCTTCATCAGGAGACCTTTTCTCCATACTCTGTCATAGGCCTGCTGGAGATCGACAAAGACTGCCACTGTGTGTTTTCTTATTCTGGAAGCCATCATGTATTCTTTGTGTCAGTCTGAACAGCTGGTCTTCTGTGCAGCTGTTGGTTCTGAAGCCTGCCTGTTCATGGCATAGAACACCAGAACTCTCAAGGAACCAATATAAGCGCCTGTTTATCATTCTTTCTGCAACTTTGCCCAAGCATGATGTTAAGGATATCGGGCGGTAGCTTTTGGGGTCATCTGGAGGCTTTTTGGTTTTAAGGATGGGGACGATATATGCATTCCTCCATGCCCTTGGAAGTTTGCTTGACCTCCAAGTTTTATTAATAAGCCTGAGAACTACTTCTCTCCCAGACCGGCCAAGATGTAGCAGCATTTCGTTGTGGATCTTATCTGGGCCTGGAGATTTTCTAGATTTTCAGAGCATAAAGCAAACAGCTTCACCACTTGGCCACAGAGAGCCCAAGTGAATGTTTCAGTTAGAGAGCCTTAATCAGCATGTTACATGACTATAAAACATCACAAATGTGAACAATATTACACAGAATCACTCAACTGAAGTATCTACAAGAGAAGTCATATATCTGTCTGGCCGGTTGAATCTCTTCTTCTCTTCTTCTCTTCCACCTTGTACATCATCGAAGTGTCGGAGGGAGATGTAATGTTCGTTTATGAGCTCTGTCAAGAGCACTATTAAAACTGATGTTCATTTCTGTAAGGCTGTTCTTAATGCCATCACTCCATCTTTTCCGAGGTCTTCCACTCACTGTATACTCGTTGTAACGTTTTAGTGTGGCTCGCTGTGGCGGATAGTACCAGGGCATTCTTGTTAGGTGTCCAAACCACTTTATTTGTTGTTCTTTGATGACCTGTAAGACTGGCTTTGTTTCTAGCATTCGTTTGATTTCATGATTTCGTATTCTTTCCTTGAAACTTCTGCAGCTCTTCTAAGGTATTTCATCTTTGTTGTCACAATTTTACGTTCATTGGAGGATGTAAGTGTCCACGTTTGGCATTGATAGCATAGTGTTGGCCAAAAAATAGTTCTGATAAGATTCACTTTAGTACTCCGAGGTATCTGCTTGTGTGTCAACAGCGAGATAGTTGACCCATTACTTGATTAGCTTTGGCATATCTGCAGCTAATTGAATCTCCAATCCCTGGAAATAATTGTAAGCCAGAAAAAGTTGTGAATGGCAAGAGCCATAATTTAAAAAAAAAATTATAAAACTGTTGGATGTTAAGTCCCCTAGGTGAACTGGAGCCCATTAGATTGATAAGGTGGTTCTCTCAAGTGACTTATGGACTCTGTCATTGCAGTGGCTAGACTTGATGGCCGCCTAACTGAATTACTGACCAGAAGGTCTGAAATCCCAGTGTCCCTTTCATTGTAGACTCCTTGAGATTGCACACTTTTCCAGGTAATCCTGACTGCATTGGGAGACTCTGGTGAATGCCTTTTTGGTGATACAATACTGCTGGGCATCCACTTCTCATGACTCAAAGACATTTTTAGCAGCATTTTCAGCTTAAGGAGGAAAGTAAGGATCTTGATGAACCAGAGGAATCTTGTGTCTGGCCAAGATGATCCTAATTCATCATCAGTCAGCAGGTCCTTTTCAGGACGTCGCTCTCTTGCAGTCACATCTAAAAGTCTCTAGCCAATTCTCCAGCCCTATATGCTTTCAAAGCCTTCATTTTCTTGTATCTACCTTTGCAGAGGTCAGCCTCTGCCCCATTTTCCCAGAAATTGCACTCTATATCACCTTTCTCTCCAGACCACCGTGACATTTAACATGGCCAAAATACCTCCACTTTTAGGACAGAATGCTGTTTGTGAGCCAATACTCCTCAATGCTCAGATCATATAGGATGTTTTTTTTTCATCAGTTGCTATAGGAAATGAGCTGGATGTCAAAATGTATACTTTTACGCGCTTGCAGATGCTGTGCTAAAGGTTCTTTATGCTATTTAGCTAACGCAAGCCTTTCTCTGACTTCTTTTGTACAATCGCCATTGTTGTTCACTGTTGAGCCTCAATATTCCAAATCTGTGACATTTTCAACCTCTTCATAATGCATAGTTGGTGTGCTGTATTTATTGTGGACATTATAAATCTTAATTGAATGTTGAATTAAGAATCAACATCACAGCACTCGGGACACCCCCATTAGCGCTTCGTCCCCATCTTCAGCAACAAGCGAAGAGTTAAAATTCAGATGGTACCAGTAACTGTCTGTTTGCATATCCGTCTTA